TACCAATAAAACCACCTGTATTTAAATAAATGCAAGATAGATACTAAGGGTGTGCAAAAAGATTGAAATATTGATATAGAGCATCGTTTAATTTGATAGTATCATAATTTTTAGGCATATTTTACTAAATTATTTTGTGTAAGAGCTATAATTGTGTTGACATTTTCACTGTTTTGAGTAAAATGGGTGTTTTTCATCTTAACTTTGCACAGACTTAGTGGACTTAGCATCACAGCCATGATTTAGCCTTTGGTTTTCACTGAACTGCATCAAACTGATTTGAAATATATCGTATTGATACATACATCGAATTGAATCGAAAGTGCACTGTATCGAAAAGCGTATTGTATCGTGGCCTGTGTATCAAGATATGTATCATATTGACAACTTCTTAATGATACCCAGCCTTAATAGATACGTTTAAAGGGACAGTTTGGAATTTTGGACATAGGACCTCATTTCCTACTGAGAAAGAGTACTGTAGATGTGTGAAGACACTTTTTAAAATATTCCGTCCAGTCCTTGTATTTGCAGAGGTCGCTGGTGCTAGGCTAGTGCATGTCAATGGCCATAGTTATCCTGCCACTAAAAACAGTCTTACCCACTCCACAAAACACCCAAAGCAAAACTGTTTATTACACCAGACTGTCCATGTGAATGTCTGTGTTGATAGAAAAATGTAAAAATAAAACCAACCTGCCTTTGAAGGATTTATGTCTGAGCAGCAGCAGTGAGTTGTACTTCCTAACAAAAAGCTCAGCAGTGGCGGATTAATATCACCTAGCACCTATCTTACCACCAAAGTAATAATTTGTTTACCTGCAGCTGCCATCGCGGCACATAGAGCACATGAAGAAGCCTGTTCCAGATATGGCCACGTTCACATCATCACAACTAACAAGAGCAGAGTAAAATTCCACTGCTGCTGAGAAAATAGTCCTTCAACATGTGACGATTCATGTTTTATTTCAAACATTATTCTATCCACACAGACATTTACATTGACAGTCTATGTTACAACTGTTTTGTTTCGGGTGTTTTGTGGAGTGGGTAAGACTGTTTTTAGTGGCAGGATAACTATGGCCATTGACATGCACTAGCCTAGCACCAGTGACCTCTGCAAATACAAGGACTGGATGGATTATTTTAAGTGTCTCCACACGTCTCCAGAACTCTGGCTCACTAGGAAATGAGCCCCTATGTTCAAAATCTGGAACTGTCCCTTTAAGGCCATATTGTGTGACATTCCAATCAAAGTAATAACATCGCCATGGAGACAAGCAGCTGTAAATGCAGCTGTTGTTATGTCTGTGACAAAGTGCGCCTTTGTCCCATGAAACAAATATTAATTTCATTTCACACACTTGTTCATTTGTTCATGTCCATGTCCAAATAAACAGTTACATATCATTCTGGGTTATTTTGTTAAATTGTCACATTGTTACACATTGTTCATTTAAATATACATTATTTGTTAATTCATTTCAGTTATGAATTTCAGTTAAATCAATATTCCTTATACTAATACTCCCTATATACCTGCAGCTCCACATGATTCAAACAGAATAGAGGGCCTGCATCATGTTGGCCATTTTTTTAAACCTTGGGAGGAGGTCATGGGCATGTGGAGGGGGGTTTTAGATTGTTTCCGTTTAATTGTTTTTGTGTATTTTGGTTTCAGTATTTCATTGTTTATAGTTTATATATTTTAAACACTTTGGTTTAGGGGACTTAAGCCTTGATAAATAGAATAGCGAGCTTTAGAGTTTTGAAAGTTACCTCTAAAGGATTATGCAATTTATAAAAGGAAAAAAAAAAAGAACACAATGACATCTAGATCAGGGGTGTCAAACATAAGGCCCGGGGGCTGGATCCGGCCCTCCAAGACCTTTAATCTGGTCCTCTTCTGATTTTCTACTAAAATATTTCAATGATATTTTCTATTAAAATATTGGTGATTTTCTGCTGCACTTATCATAGCAGCATCTCCAGCATCTCTGTACGTGGCCCCTCCCACCAGAGCAGCACAAATGAAGACTTGTCTCTTTCCAAACGCTCTTAAAGGACGATCGTTTTGACTGTTGACCGTGACACCCTCATCAGAAAAATGTCCAAAATGAGAAAAGTGGAGCAGAGTGCAGGATTTTCCAAGAAAAATTGACTTATTGCCATTTGCATACAAGATAATATTAAAACGATGTGTTGAAATTGCATTTTTCTTAAAGTTTCAGGTTGTTCATAATATTATAATATTTTGTAAAATGAAGAGTTCATCAACTAAAAAAGATTTCTGTAATAGATTTGCTTTTCTCTGCACAAATATTTGAACTTATTGTTATTTTTGGGGTTTATATGACATGAGTTTTCTGATCCGGCCCCTTTGGGATCAAAGTAGGTTGGATACGGCCCCCAGACCAAAATGAGTTTGACACCCCTGGGTTAGATGAAGAAAACGGGGCCATTTTCTCAGTTTTCTACTACTACATACTATTGCCAACAGAGCTGGAAGGAAGTCGTCATCCACATGTTTCAAGACGCTGGTTTTGTGACGTGAGCATGAATAGAGCACATTAGGAGGAGACTTCTATGTGGTCAGGTGCACATGGTTGTTCCATTGATTTAAGTTATTTATTTTCAGTTTGTTCGAACAGTTTGTAATTAATTTATTTTACGTAAACAACTGGAAGTCTGTTTTAAATAAATTTTGTCCGGTCAAAGGCACTTTTTTTTGTTGCAGTCTGATTCTCACTTCGACCACATCGGGTCAGTTTCCCCACAGTGTCTATTCTGTGTGTACAATGGGATTTTCAAATGCACAAATGTGATTATAGTGAAACTGTATTATAGTGACAGTACAGTCTTTATGTTTTGAGGCCTTGGTTGCCGGTGGTTACAGCCCGAGTGGAGGTCGCATGTATGATTGTTTTGTCCTGATGGAATGTAAATCAAATGACTCCACGTCCTCATCCTAACAGGGATACTAGTCTGTGTGTGTGGACAGGGATTTAGGACACTGTGAGGTCTAAACTCTGTACACATTCACGTCACAGAGACCCGCCGCACTTATGGGGACCGAAACACTTTATTATTACTAACAATGTGCTTTAAATGTCCCATATGGGTTAAAATAGGTTAAGGTTAGGCAAGTAGTGATGTAGTCTGCATTCCTGTGGCTTTAATCCCTTTTAAACATACATCATTTAACATTTTATCATTTCAAAATAAAATAAAATATACTTTATAAACTATAATCTGTTTCCAATGAGGTACTTTAGGCATTGGAGCTCCCTCTGCTGCAACGGGAACAAACATTTAGAACGTAAACAGCTCAAGTCTCTATCCTCAGAGAATGCTGCTATGCTAATATGTGTGTTTGTTGTGAAAATAATTTGGCCATAAAATGAGTCCTGTGATGGTTTATGGGCTTAAAAACTGCACAGGAGAAGTACGGAGTTTTATCTATGATGGAACAAAATGGGCAAAATGCAAAAGTTGCATTTTTGCAGCTCAGAGAAGATAAAATTGAATTAATTGATACATGAAACAAAAGTGAAGAAGGAAAAATGCAACTCCAGGTACGTTTTTGATGAGGGGACATTAGAACAGCTCCAAAAGTCAGAATGTCGTCTTTAAGGTCAGGATCAGTCTCCAGGAAATGAATGTAACTCAATAATGTCCCTAAAAAGCATGCATACCCAACGTGTGTGTGTGTGTGTGTGTGTGAGAGCGGGCAGCAGGTCCCCGGGGTGATGATGTCATCTCCAGGAGACATCCACACCCCGATGACATCACTCCCGCTGGACACTCTGCAGTCGGAGCACAGGCCTCGTCTCGCCTCATGATGGATCGTGATGAGACTCATTCAGAGGACAGGAGACGGGGACAGAGGACAAAACTGGGACAGAGCGCTGGGGGAGGAGGGTGTGGTCAGAAAAAAACTGAACTCCGCCCACCGCCCTGCTCATGTTACACAATGGGACAATCAGACAGGAAGCATAAAGTGTATTGTACATGCTCAGGCCACGGCCTGTTTCACTGGCCGAGACAGCACAGTGTTTAATGATGATGGAAGTGTTCAGTGAAACAGAGAGTCCAGCACAAGAACAGCCCCACCGCTTTAACAATACTCATCTGACCTCAGAAGCTGAGCAGGTTGGGTCTGGTTGGTATTGGATGAGAAATAATTGGGAAAGCAAACTGTGCACTGTTGTTGTGTCCTTAGGCAAGGCACTTCATCAGCATTGTCTAGTATGAATGCAGTGTGTGTTGGTAGTAGTTGGAGGGTCAGTGGTGCAGATCAGCAGTGTAACTTCCATCAGTCTGTCCCAGGGCAGCTGTGGCAGCAGCAGATACTCCCACAGAGTGTGGAGTGAGTTAAACAGAACAGTGTAAAGTGATTTGGAAATAGTGCCAGATAAATCAGGAGCATTATTATTAGGTTTTGTTTTGGTTTGTGTGTGGAGAAGGAAACCTGAGCTCTGACAAGAGCACACTGTCAGGAGGAGGCTCATAATACAACATGACTACAAGCTCCAGAAATACTCCAGACAACTTCAGTCTTATTTATTATAAGATAAATTCATCCATTAAAAAAAAACAAAACGTATTTGGAGAAGTTTCACACGCAAGGGTTGGAGTTGTCTTGAAAACACTGTTCTCCAAATAAGAGGCTGTTATGAAAAAAGTGAATGATATTATCCTGATTTTAAAAAACATTTGGTTTGATGAGGATCAGAACAGACAGATGTGTGGGATGAGAAAAGAAAGTTGACGGTGAAACATGTTCTTCTTCACTCATGGTTCCAGAGTGTGTACGAGCCCTTTAACGCTGCTGCATTTGAATGTATCTATCCCCCTCTAGTGGCTTGTGGGTGTCATTGCATCATAATAGAAAACTGCATCAGATTTATTAAACTGATCAGTTTTTGGTTATGTTGGTTAAGAATATAAACTGTGCATTACATTCTGCCACAGTGAACACATGTATATTGTGTACTCACATCTCCTCGACCTGATTCGCGGGCCCCTGGACTTGTCCCACCACCGACCCACTGTGAGTGTTCTTCACCCAGCCCACCAGACCCAGACGCAGCCCCTCTTTCTCTGTGTACTGGACACAGGACAGAGGACAGAACAGCTGAATACATGATGTTAGTCCAAAAGCATCATGGGTCAAAAGTAGAGTAGAAAACTTACCATTCGGAAACACACACCTGAAAAGAGAAACAGAAACCAAAATAAGATTGATTTAATAAAATAAAAATAAAAAAAAACATATTGGACCATCCCTAGTCTTCAGCTGTTTCAACTGTCTCAGCAGTTTTATGAAAAACTCACTTTTTCAGCTCAGCAATAGACTGCATGGACATAGCTAACAGCCTAGCTGCCGCTTTCCAAATAGGAAGTTTGCATGTGGCTCTTCCAGCTCCTTCTGACCTGCATGGCTCCCATTGACTTACACTGGAATATTGTGGCCCCTCTGTCTGTAACTGCTGCTATGAGCCTTAGTCCACTTTTTATACAGTCTAGAGCTCAGTAGGTTCAGCTGTAATGCAATAATTAAAGAGGCGGGATTACGCAAAATCAGCTTCTTTTATCTTTCTGCCGTCTTATAACATTGTTCCCTCATCAATAAACATGCCCAAAGAGGTTTTAGGTGTCAATCATGTATGTTTCAATTTTAAAAGCGATCTCTTCTGGATCCTATTCAAACCTTCCTTACAGTTACCTGTAAGATTGTGTCCAAGGCTCCGCCCACAAGCCTTTTCTCCATAAATACACAAAAACATGAGACAAAACTGTACACAACAGCTTGACAGACCTGATGTGATGTGCAGTAGTTTCATTAGTGGGATGCATGCTGATTGTGTTGTGATAGTGCTCTGAAGGGGGAGTGACTTAGAGCAGAGAGCAAAAAACTAAAGTGAAACTTATCTCAATATGTTGGTTTGGGTGAATATAGCATTTTATAAACAATACAAGGAACGTGGTGATCTAAATATGTTAGGTGTTAGCAGTGAATACTCCCTCAGTGTACAACTCAGACACTTATAATAAACATAAATAAAATGTATACTTGTACTGATACTTCGAGTACAGCCCTAGTAAATATCTCTATGGACTGCACAAAGTGAAAGTGCAGAGTGCAGGCTAGCTTCTATATTCAGCTCCTGAGGCTCAGTTTACACTCCACACACAAACACATGCATGCACACACACACACACACACTATACACACATACACACACACACACACGCACACACACACACGCAGTAGCATGCATTGCAAGAGTATAGTACCACACTGACCCTGTACGTATCCGAAGATCTCAAAGTCCACAGATACCAGATCAGACATGCTGAAGACCACCACAGGGTCTGAGGAAGAGGAAGAGGAAGAGGAGGAAGAGGAAGGAGTGCCGCTCTGTGTGCTGCAGGCTGTGGAAGCACTGACACACAACGCCCTCTGCTGGTGACAAGAGAACAGGGTTATCAAAAGTATAAAAATAAGATACTGAAAAAAATAGCATTGAAACTAAATACTATTTTTTGATTTTTTTATATGCACAGGTATCAATACTAAAAAAGTCACACACTATTGTCTAAAAAAAGAGTGTTTTTTTTCTTATCATCATGGCAGACATTACTTTATACTTCTAGTTGTGTAATATTATTTTGAAGTTGCAGTACTCAAGCTTATAACTTTCTATAATTTATATTATAATATCAAGATTTTTAAAAGACATGTTTAGACCTGGTGTAGTCCTGGTGTAGTCCTAGTATAGTCCTGGTTTAGTTATGGTGTCGTCCTGGTTTAGTCCTGGTTTAGTCCAGGTTTAGTCCAGGTTTAGTCCAGGTTTAGTCCAGGTTTAGTCCTGGTTTAGTCCGGGTTTAGTCCAGGTTTAGTCCAGGTTTAGTCCAGATTTAGTCCAGATTTAGTCCTGGTTTAGTCAGGGTTTAGTCCAGGTTTAGTTCAGGTTTAGTCCAAATTTAGTCCTGGTTTAGTCCAGGTTTAGTCCTGGTTTAATCCTAGTTTAGTTCTGGTTTAGTCCTGGTTTAGTCCTAATTTACTCCTGATGTAGTCCTGATTTAGTCCTGGTTTAGTCTTAGTTTAGTCCTGGTTTGGTCTTTTGGTTTGGTCTTGGTGCAATCCTGGAGAAGTTCTAGTTTAGCACTGTTGTAGTCTTGATATTTGAAATTTAGACCCCATAAATCTCTCATCCCTAAGTCTCTGAATACAGACTTGGTTGAATCTCGGTTTAGTCGCTACATTTAGAAAATTCAGATTAAAATGAAAATACATAAATAAATACAATGTCTGTACCTCATTTGTCCACTAGATGTCAGTCACTGCTTATTAATCCCATTCATCACATCTCATAACCAGTGCTGTAAACACTCACTAAACTATTATTTATAGAACAATCACTTCATTATAATGTCTCTGGGTGTCTCTGTGATCATCTGTAGGGTTAGTGGTTTGATCTTTGTGTCCTTGAGCAAGACACTTCCCACACTTTTGCCTGTATAGGAACGTACATGAGGAGCTTAGACCTAAACCTTCAGTGACTGTAATGAGTGAAGCACAGTGAACTGTATAAAATGAGCTTGATTGATAGTTTGCAGCTGATGTCATCAACATTCCTTGGAGGTGTGACGCTAACTGTGGGCACTGCTCTGTCTGAAGTTCTGTTAGACTTTATTTTATGGAACGCTATTTGAGGAATAACTTTGGACCACAGCAAATCAGAAAATGAATGAGGGCAGTGGCTCTCAAACTTTACCACCGAAGAAAAGATATAACTTCTTCTCTTAAACACTAAACACTTGTTCCACAGTTCCACCTTGTGATGTCATGTGGTAATACAGGAAGTGCTTTACTGTGTTTTTAAACTCCATACACCTTCATTAGAATCTTTTACCCAGCCGTGAAGAGAGTGCACACACCACCCGCACACACACCACCCGCACACACACACCACCCGCACACACACCACCCGCACACACACCACCCGCTTCACCCGCATACACACCACTCACCCGCACAACACACCCGCTTCACCCGCACCACCACACCACCCGCGTCACCCGCACACACACCACCCGCTTCACCCGCACACACACCAACCCGCTTCACCCGCTATCACCCGCATACACACACCCGCTTCACCCGCACACCACACCACCCCACTTTCACCCGCTTCACACACACCACCCACTTCACCCGCTAAGCCATCACAATTGTGAGTGATACAAGTCACCCTGCAATCTGTTCAGCCTCCCGCCCTCCGGGAAGAGGTACGTACGCCTCTGTTCCTGCACCACCAGACTCACAAACCCCCCCATATATGCATATAAATGCATATAAATGCATATAAATATTTATTTACATGCATCTGAGTGAGAAACACAATTTTGATTCTTTATATGTTCTCTGTATGAAGAACTGTCAATAAACTTTTTGAACTTTGATCATTTCAGCCGTGCTAATCTCTACTTAACTAAAGCAAAAAGGAGCTGTTCACTTGAAACCTGTCTCTTCATGACATCACAAGTTGGAACAGAGCATTTTGAGCTTTGGAGATGTAAACAGAGTTAATAAAGAGTTACTCAAACATGTGTGAATGAAACAAAACACAACTCCAGGTCTGTTTTTAAGGTTATATCAACATTCAAACATGACATAAAGTTCACTACAGTCCTCTTGTGTGATGTAGGAGTTTTCTAGAGCAGACAGTAAACATGAGCTCTTGTACACAGAGTTTCAGTTGGAACATCTCGTGCCCCATTAGCAGGACCCCACTGTGCTGTCTGGACTCTGGGTAATTGGTTGTTAGTGGGAGGGGGCGGCTATTGTCACGTTCAGAGGCTCTGGGCCAAAAGCTGCAGCCCTTCGTCCCAGGAGACCAGCTCAGTCTGTCTGCTCCACCTCCACCTCCACCACCCTAACCCTACACCAACCCTACACAACCCTACACAACTGTACAACAACCCTACACAACCCTACACCAACCCTACACAACTCTACACAACTGTACACAACTGTACAACAACCCTACACAACTCTACACAACTCTGCACAACTGTACAACAACCCTACACAACCCTACACCAACCCTACACAACTCTACACAACTGTACAACAACCCTACACAACCCTACACCAACCCTACACAACTCTACACAACTGTACACAACCCTACACAACCCTACACAACCTACACAAACTCTACACAACTGTACAACAACCTACACAACCCTACACAACTCTACACAACTCAACAACAACTACACAACTCTACACAACTGTACAACAACTCTACACACAATCTACACTAACTCTACACAACTTTAACAACTCTACACACATCTACACTAACTCTACACAACTTTACACAACTCTACACAACCCTACACCAACCCAACCCAACTTCATACCAACCCTTCACAACTCAGCACAACTCTACAAAAACCCTACACAACTCTACACAACCTTACACCAACCCAACCCAACTTTATACCATCCCTTCACAACTCTACACAACCGTACACACATCTACACAACTCTACACAACTTTACACAACCCTTCACCAACTCAACACAACTTTATACCAATCCTTCACAAATCTACACAACTTTACACAACTCTACACAACTCTACACAACTTTATACCAACCCTACACAACTCTACACAACAACTACAACTTTTACACCAACCCAACACAACTCTGCACAACTCTGCACACTGTTAAATCGAACACTAGAGTTCACTTGGATTCAGCTCGTTTATTTTACTCACAGCTACAAGTTTGTGAATCTTAATGATTGTGGTAAAGTCACATTTACTTTCAGGGTGAAAAAGCCACTTGACTTGTCAATTAGACTGAATGAGACGAGTAACTTCAACAGTGACGTTTTATCGCCAATAGTCCAGCTCCATTTCCCAGTCTGTTCCAGTCCTCCTTTTACTACCTCCCTGTTTTTCCTTCAGCTGCCACTCATATATACTTCCTTTGCCAAGTAAGATGAACTTACTCTTAAACTCACTACATATTTCACAATTGAGGAACTGACTGATTCGTTGGCACAGCTTCACAACATGATTCTATGTAAGAAAACTAAAGTTCCCTTCACTTGCTGTGCATAGTTAGATAAAAGAGGAATTTACTGTACACTACAGAAAAGTAATTACACTAGTCCACTTTAGTCAGGGAATCGATTTCCTAGATTTTTTCCAAGTAAGATCTACTTCAGGAGTCTCCAACCTGTAGCTCGGGAGCTACCAGTATCTCTCCACTCCATTCCAAGTAGCTCGCCAAAGGATTTCCGAATTATATGTATTGCACTTAATAACTAAAATCTGATTCGTTACCATGTAAATGTATCATTTTCATACCTAAATTGTGCACTAATAAATGGTTTATGTTTAATAGGCACCTAACTGCACCCCGTCCAGAACATGCCATAGCTCTTCTTGTTTCTCAATTTCTTGTGGCAACTAAAATGAGTAGCTCTCTGGCACTTTTGTTTCATGAAGGTAACTCACCAGAGGAAAAAGTCTGGAGACTCCTGGTCTACTTATTAGATTTTACAGTGTGGTGGTGTCATAGATTATAACTGTACACCAGGATGGAACGAGACACAATATCCACAAGACAAGGCGAGATACGAGACCGGATCCACAAGATCGAGACAAGACGAGATATGAACATGAATCCTAACATATACATTTCACGATTCAGTTTCCAATTTTTTATTTCTTAGATTTCAAGATAATTTTTCTTTTACGTGCACAATTTTGTGGCAGTTTAGTCTCATGAGATCTCGTCAAAGATCTTGTCCCTTCTTTAAAAAGGCTTTTGCTCTTGTGTCGTGTGTCAGTGATTCACAATAATAATGGGTTATACACGCCTGAGTGCTTTGTTTGTGTTTCCACTTGTAAATTGTGTTTTTGTGTTGTGTGTTGACAGTTGTACAGTTGTGTGTGTGTGTGTGTGTGTGAAAGTGGTGTTGGTCCATACGTTACACTGGACACACATTAGTATAACACATACTGCAGTATAACAGTAGTATTATGAAGGACACTGATGTGACAGAGCCCAGAGGTCAGAATGTACCGGAACACAGCGTCCACACAACATGCCCCAGCTCACAAACGCACACACTAACATACACACACACTAACATACACACACACTAACGCACACACACTAACGCACACACACATGTATGTACGAGCAGATGTAAAAACCTGTGTGATGTCTGAGAGAGTGAGAGACGCTGGGGGGAGAGAAAGAGAAAGAGACGGAGAGAAAGAGAGAGAGAGAGAGAGTTAACCTACATCTACCCACACACACACACACACACACACACATTTGTACACATTTCATACACTTTGTACATTTTCATACATTTGTAAACATGTAT